CCCCCGCCGCCCGCCCCACTACCATTCCAACCATAACTTTGTCTCCTAAACACCCTTATTCCCATTCTCGTATGACTTCTAAACCATGTCTCCAACCCTCAAGCTCTACTAATACCACAATCATCATTATTTGTTGAAACAATGCTATCAAACATTCCTGCTTTGATTGGTGAAGGACCTATGTAAGAAACACTTAGATTTAAAATGAAAACTCAGCAATTATGTGTTAGACATACACTGCCTTTCCACTATGCTCAGTTAAGGCAGCAGCCGTAATTGCAAGCATAGTGATAAAAATGTATGGTCATACTAGCCACCAAGGCCTATTACATCATGGATGGAGACATTGTTTGATCCACAAGTCACTCAAAGGCCCCAAGATGCCCAAAGGAGATATCAACGGCCCAAAAAAATTGCAACAAAGCTCAAAGAACAAAAATAAGTGCATTTTAACCATTCCATCTAGAGGGGTGCATTATTTGGATAAAATGAAAAAAACAATAAAAAAAAAATTGATTTATTTGGTTATTTTCGTTTAATTCGATGGTTAAAATATTACTCAAATATTAATTGTAATTTTGACTTTCTTTGACATTTGAGTATTCCTTAAATTTTTAGTTTTTATAAAACCGATTAAACCAAAAAATTGAATTATATTAATTTCATCAAATATTAAATCAACAAAGCCTGTGAATCGTAAATTGTCAAGTAATAAAAAGATCAACATGGATAGTACTTATTCCACGTGCCAAAATTATAAACTTTAGCAAAGATTACTTAGTATTATTATTCATAAACATGCTCTTTAAGCTAAATGAAATTAAGTTCATAGTTATTTATATTTCAATTCATCCAAAATCGAACTAAACGGATTGAACTAAAGTTTGGTTTGGATCAATTCAATTTAAAAAATATTCTAACTGGTTCGGATTTCTAAGTTTTAGAATCAAAGCCAAACAGCTTAGCTAATCCATAAACCAAATGCAACAAAATTATCACATGCACACCCATTTTCCATCTTATCAATGATTTGTTAAGAATCAAATTAATTATATGTAAAGGGCCCAATCCTCAAAAACTTACTAAAAAACAGCATGAGACGCCTTATCATTATTGGGTCCAAAACTGAAAGAACTGCAAACTATCCAAAATAATTTGTGCATTCGTAAAATAATTCATAAAATAGAAAATTACAAGATTATAGGCCCACCTATATTGTAAAAAAAATGCTTTGGTTAGGCAATAGCATAGCACTATACGTTCAATAGGGTATACTCATTTAAGGAAGAAATTATGTCAGGAAACCTGAAGCTTTTTCCACTTGATGCAGAATGGCTTTTTGCAAAAACATCCCCAAATCTCACATAAGAAAGCCCTCTGAATGCTCTATCAAAAAAAAATAAATGAAGAGTAAGAAAATAACAAAAAATAGCATAAGACAAAACTGATAAATTGATTTTTTAAAAATGAAATGAAAAGACAACCTTTCAATCGAATTCCTGAAAGCTTGAGACAGTGCAACGGCAACCTCCTCAGAGTCTCCAGGGGCTAACCACACTCCACGTCCAACAACTTTGGACAGAGAATCAATACAGTACAAAAATTATTGAAATTTGAGAAAAAGTACGAAGATACAGAAGATTCATACACAAAATAGCCGTATATATCAAACCTCTCAATTTTGACACTGCAGCTTGAGCAGGTTCCACTAACGAAGAATGGCGTCCAGGAATAAACAACCAAAGTTTGATTTTCTCATCTGTTGATTTAACAGAATTTTAAATGGCCCTTAAAAGGTGAGATCTAGTATAATGATAAAGAATATTCTAAGGACCTACCAGGGTTGTGGACGCCCTGGGAAGGATCCCAAGGGCCAACAAAGGAATTTGTCCAAGTGCTAAGAAAGCCATCATTCTGCAACCTAAGGTGTGCTGAAATCACTGAGAAGGTAGCAGCATCTTTCTGCTCTGCTTTTGAACTTCAGAAGAAAAACTAATAGTTTGCAACTCTTTTTTATTTAATGAGAAACATCTGCCAAGATGCAAGTAGAACCAATTCTACAAGAAGATACCTTTTGTCATTCAAAGAGGTTGGATCAGGATCACTAGGAAGAAACTGAAACCATGTAATAACTTGAAATTCTCCCTGTTAAAAGGATGAAACGATATATTAATAATTGCACAAGTTCATCCAAAAGAAACAACTGTGCAATCAAAGTTAAATCAGCTTGCTTTAAGTAATCAGCTCATATAAAATATACAAGCTGCATCATCCTGCCTTACAGCCCCCTGCGACCAACATTTTTGTTGTATACACGCTGCAGCAGAAGTCAAAATAATCAATAGCTAATTTCTAATAAAAAACCAGCACTGGTTTTATGACAAAATGTGAGATACACAACAAGACCTCAATATCATGTACATTCGTCATCCCATGTGAAATTGGTGTACATAAATAGACAAGCACGCATATTTAAGCCATAGGCTACTATTCTATAATGAGTATATAGTCATTTTCATATCAGTTGTAAGAAAAAGTTTGATCCGAGATGCAAATATCAAATAAAGGAAGAACACACATCTTAATTTACACAATGACTACTAGAACGTGGAATATCATAATCTTCAAAAAGATTCAGATATGCATCAATCATCTAAAGTTCAGAATCCAATTTTTCACAAATGTTGATCAATTACCAGTTATTCATAATTATGATCAAATTAGTCTATTGACAAGTTCTGATATGATAGATCGACCTCAAAAATAATGTTAAGATATATGAAGGTAATGTCATAAACAAATAATTGCATTCAGGATAATTTTTTCTCCAAATAAAAAAATAGTTAGCTATATATGCCAATACATGTTTTTATCAAAGACATGAATATGAATATAATTTATATATATAGATGCTAATTGGACTGAACACGAGTTCATTTATATATATCCCTGAACATATGGAAGATATGTAGATGGTAGATACTTTGTCTACCATAGTTTTTCGTTCAATTAAGAAAATATTGCTACCAACTCCATCTACCTTTTATTTTCAACAAGTAAACAGTGTAACACCATACATGCTTTTAAAATTAACCATGCTGTGAACAGACTAATTTTTTAATGCAATCGGCTCCCTCAGAATGCAAGAGTTAATTGCACTTTTTTAAAATGTTTTTTATGAATCTTCGCTCTGTCTATTTGGTTGGCTCATAATATAGAAATATTAAGTACTTGGCTCTTTTTCATATTAATTTTTTTATTAATAATAAGTATAATCACTGATTTTTTTCAAATATATATCTGCTTTAATCTACTCTACCTAACACACTAGCCTGAGCAATATTTATTGTCTTTTTTTTCATATCTTTGTTTATTTTTATTCATTTACCAATTTATCTGAGCCCTCAAAGTGCTCTCTAAATACCATCTAATTGTGCTCTATAATTAATTGTATCTCAGCCATGTATTCTTGTTGTGTATGGGAAAATGATTTTGAATTGGTTGAATTCTCAAAAGACACCATCTCAAGCAAAGGCTCAATACCTGCACATGCACAACAAAGAAATATGAGCCTTCCTGAGGAATGTTCTCCGAGAAGGCAATCTAACGCTTATGTCAACATATGAATATAAGACAAGCTGACTTGAGCTTGAAGTTTTGAGATTAAACCCGTTAGAGATCTAATTTGGTTCATCAGATCTACTAAATGTGATTTTTTAAATTATTGGCGCAAGTGAACAAAACTGGATAATCGGATCTTGATGGATCCTTTAAATTAAATGCTGAACTCGTCGTATTTGTTGAAAAGATCTTTGCAAATCTTAATGTGATCCAAATAATAAAGATCAAGAGGCATTGTTACCTAATCTTGCTCTTATTACCATTCTTGGAAGCAAGTGGATCAAAATTGGCAAGCTGTATGATGTTTATGTGCTCACAGGGGAGGAATCAAAGCATCCAAGTCAAATTAATATGAATTCCATCCAACCGAACTCCTCTTCAATTATTACAGAAAAAGGATGGTTAACGTGTATTTTTCCAACTTAAAAAAACCTATTTCAGTAAACCTTAACTTTAGTTTCCAGTCAACTAACAACTCAGCAATTGTTGCAGTAGAAGTTTCCAGGGTATACCAATTCCATCTTATAGGGCCTTTTTTTTTTTTTTTTTTTTAAGGGCCTTAATAGAATAGTCTTTCTGAAGCACAGCAATGAAGGTTCTTTCACAACGATGCTCAAGCTTTCCTTGAAACATAAACCAAGTAATTTAACAATGCTCCAAAACCAAAAAAAAATAACACTTTTATATATAATCAAAATGGCATAAGAGTATGATTTTCATATCATTAAACTAGCTGTGCAATACAGACAGCCTAAATTGCAATTTATTGATCAACGAATAAAAAAAAATAAGAAATTGGGAGTCATAAAAAAAAATTGCCGCTCATATAGAAAATGCAATGACCAAAAGGATTAAAACATACAACTCTGAATATATTTGTCCACATAATTCGATTGAGCCAACCCCAACCGGAAACTTTGCAAACTTCCAAAAAGCTATCATTAATCAGCTACTCTACATCCTGCTGCCCATAAAGCAATTTTCGTGGGAGTTCATTCATTTCGCATCCGCATCCAAATGCAAGAGAAAAAGAATATGTGTCTAAGAAAAAGCACCTGCAAAGCAACAAATTGAAAATACCAAGTAAATTGAGAGCCACATGCGTGTGAACATATAGAAGCATATTACAGATACATGCTTGTGAACATAATTCCATGCACCCAGCTATCAATCTACAGCATATACAAGCATTTGTATATAGGCACACAGGCGTGCACACAGAAGTAGAGTTACTGTAGAGTATTTGAGCAGGATTTACCTTAAATCCCTCCAAACAGCAACAATGACAACTTTAATCTGATGCATTTTTGTTCATGAAATATGGTGGAGTACTGCTCTTTTATCAGTAATGTGAATGTCTCTTCTTTCTTGTTTGGTTATTATTTGGTGTTCTTGCCATTTGTGTGTGATTCTCAAAATAATTGAAGTTTTCATGAAAAAATTGAGGAAAATGTTTCTTCCACAATCCCACTCCAGCACTTTGCAGCAAAAAAAAAAACTGCTCAACTATGCAACTGTGATCTACACCAAAAAAAAATAATAATAATACCTGTCGCTCAACCAGACTCCAACGAAGAACCTTCGTGAAGATGAAATCCCAAGTGAGGCGGTTGTGAAGAAGCCTGATGCGTTTGTTTGTAGAAATAGGGCGAGCTCTCCAGTTGACGACACGGGCGGCGCGCGAAATGAATCGCTCGAAGTTAAATCCCGTTAAATCCGGCTACCCATCGGCTTCACTAAATCCCAGATTTAAGCCGTAAATCCGTAAATTCGGGATTTACCGAATCACGGGATTTAACGCGCGCACAAAAACTGTTTGGCTGGATTTAGCGTAAATCCGACATAAACCCCGCTGTAAATCCGATACCAAACAGCCCCTAAATCCTACAGAAACTTAAATCTCATTCCTTCACCATTTTTCCTAAAATTACGGATTTAATACTTTGGCGTATTTAAGGGATTAAGCCGACGAAGCTTGCAAAAGAGTAGAAAGATGTTATGTTACCTTTGCGGCGAGCTCCCTTCGCGACTTCTGATCTAACAAAAACAACTTTTTAGCTACTCTTTCAAAACTCTACTACACACGAATCCAAAGCAACGAGGAAATGACGACGAAGAAACGCAAACCCTAGACGGGCCTAAGGCTATAGGAAGAGCGTAGACATATCAAAGAAGCAAAATTATAGCAATAATAAATAGTTAATGGCAAAGAAGAACATCGTCACTCCTGCCCCAGCTTCGTCTTCGGTCATATCAGATTTTTTTTTTTTTTTTCTTTACGGACTGCAGTAATATGTGTTCTTGTGGGAAAGAGAACCATAGGTCTACAACAAAGAATATATTTATTTTTTTTATTTTAACATTAATTAATATATATATATATATATATATATATATATATATATATATTGATGTTTTGATCAATAATTTTAATTATGTTATTTTTTATATTGATAAAAGAAAAAATGTAGAACCGATTGTTATTTATTAAAAGATAAAAGAATATTTCTTTCAAATTAAATTATGGGGCATCACATAAGCATATTCATATATCACTATGAATGGTAAAAGTGGAATTCCACTGTTTGTTAGCGAGTACATTTTGATAGCCATGTGAAAGTATAAGAAATGCACATATCAAATTTTATAGTATTCAAGCTTAAGTTATATATTCTTAAAAAGTAAATTGTGATTTGTTTCTTAAAAAAAAACTTTTTTTTATATGAAATTAATATTCAAAATTATTATTTATGCATTACAAATATGGGTATTAACTTGTGTAATAGGATTTAAGTTTGCCTACTAAGTTTGTGAGTACTTTTAATGTTGGTTTAAAATATTTAAGGAAAATAAAATGCCCCAACATAGCATAGGTTGTTAGGAGTGGGCTTGATAGAAATTATCCTCCTAAGGTATTTTTGTAATTTAGTTCTAATAATTTTATGTATATAATCAATTTATGATGGATTATTTTGGAATTAGAATTTAGATGATCGTTATTTGTATTTATTATTTTGGATACTTGGTTGACTCTGGTATATTACATATTATAGTTGAGAAAACTAAGTTTGAGGATTTAATTCTTTTTTATTAAATCGTGTGGCGTGACACTTTTAATAACTAACATTTTGCGTCATAAATTATTGCGGATCTCATTACCATTTTATAGAATTTCTGTAATACCCATTGTTTTGAAACACAATGAATTGAAGTGTATGGTATGAATCCCCACATGCCTTGATTTATTTATTGATTTTCAATCCTAGAATATCTAGTTGACCTTAAATAAGTGTAAGAACTAAAACTATGAAGAGACAACTCTAGTGGAAAAATATAATGGAAGTTTTAGTTTTGCAACATTGTCCTATCTGTTCATGAGAATGATTTGGCGTAGCACTACGGTGCTAAGCTCTCGTGTTTGAGAATTTGGGAGGATCTATAATATTCTAATGGAGTGTGGTGGTTATGGAGGTGAGTGTCGTGACGCTCAACCTAAAATGATGTTTTCCTCCCTTTCCTAATTAGTTATTGGATAAGATAAAAGGAGAAGGGAGAGGAGAAGAAGGAGAGAGAAATTTAGAGGATGTAGCTCAGTTTTTGCCCATCACGCTAGTTAAGGAAATCATCGAGCATGTGGCAGAATTCTACACACTTGTCTTTGATTTCAATTATAATAATATTATAATTAAATACAGATAAAAATATTTTTTTTATTCGGTGTTTCAAGTTTTAAGTTTTTTTATATATTATAATTTGCTGTAATCAAATCATTTTAACTATAAGAAGCTAATTTTTGACTAGTTGGTTTTCTCCATGATGACTTCTGTGTATATCGAATAAATGAGACATTTTTGTGAGTCCTGATAGTTATGTGAAGGTATAATGCTCTGAATATTCTTCCAAAATTATAACTGGAAAAGAAAATGTTAAGTATGGAAGGCTCTACACATGCAATGTTTCCCTACTTTAAATATTATAGTAGTTATTTCATTATCATGCTCATTCTATTCAAATTATATAATTCATAGCATGGCATTAAGGAGTTTTGAAATCTTAAATATTACAAGTGGACTCTCTGAAATGATACAAGAGACTTAAAAATTCTATTCTAGCCTCATCCACTTTGTGTGGATGTGGGAGAAATTTTAGCCCCACTTATTGAATGTAGGTATAAGAGGTTACTCGAATCGTGCGATTCTTGAAGCATTTGGAATATTTTCTGGGAGTATTGTGACACTGAGTAGACTAGCATTGTGACATCATATCATATTAGTACTTTTTAAATAACAAAATATCTTAATATATTTGTTTAAACAATTTTTCATATGACCATTGATCGAGAAGAAAGGAAGAGAAGGGAGAGGAAAATAGGAGAGAGAAAGATGAGAGAGGTTTTGGTGGCTAAAATTCATGATTCGTCCATTAAGCATATTCAATATATTATACTGCTGCATGAGATAGACTTTTAAACCTATGTTTGTGATTTCAATTCCAATAATTTTATAGAAAGTTATCAACAAAAATGTATTTTCTCGAGTTTTATGATATTTTTATTGTATATTTTTTGATATGTTCTATAAATTGATTGAGGCTTTCCTGCCAATTGTAATAGTTATATAAAATCTTAAAATATTTATATGAATATCCCTCTAAAGTTGTAATGTGAACATGAAAATTCCAGTGAGTATAATATTATACCAATAATGTGGCTTTTCAACAGGCAATTCATACATTATTGTGCAATGCATTTAATTTAAAATTTAGTTCCTATTGCATTTGCACTGTACATAACATGTTATTGGATATATTCAAATTTGTGGAAAAATGCACTCATTGATATCTTGAGTTATGGAAACTACCCATTTATGTTCGTACTACTTTGAGTACCACGTTAGAAGTTTAAGGACATAAATTGATTGTAACATGCACTTTGATTTTGATGATAGCTCTCAGCTCTCATTGTTATTCTTTTAAAACTTTGGAAAACCAAGCAAAAAATATACCACCAGATTTCTCAATGATTTGGAGATTAAAACAACAACACTATATTTCAAGAAAATTCAAATCATTGGCTAGTTTTATTTATGACGTCTAAATATGTTATTTCTTTAACAAGTTCTTCATAAGAAATTTGCAAACAACATATCCGCCTAAAGATGTTGAGCGAGTAGTAGCAAATGAATTCTCATCTTGATTTAGAACACATGTGAGCCAAAACAACTTACTGATGAAAAGTCATTTCTATTATATCTTGCGCATGTACTTTTTTTATTAACAGTACTTAGGTTCATAGTCCCTGTAAGGAAGTTCTCTGGAAAGTTTATTTTAGTAAATATCTGGTGGTCGAAGAGACAAACAAGATTTGCTGGTTGTGATAAAGACTAAAACATGAGGAATTGTTGAGCAATAATATGTCATAGTTACTATACACCGAGAGGAAGAAATGTCAGCTTTTGGGGTCCTTCAATTGATTTTTTGGATGTTTTGTTACCTATATTTGAAACACAGTTAGAGGAAGTGGATGATGCAACAAGCACATCAAGTGAGAACAAGGAACAAACTAAGGTACATTAGGGAGTGAAAGTTTTTTTTTTTTGGTTAATAATAGTAAGTTCAAATTCAAAATTTGTTTGAATGTAGTTTTTTTATATGTAAATGCACGCAATTATCTAAACTTTAAATGTTTTTTTTTTTATGTTTAACTACAATTTTCTTATGTAGATAAGTGAAAGTTATTATGTATATACCTTATCTTAACCTTAAATCTCTTTAATATTATTGTTTACATTAACTACAAATTCCTTTAACTATAAAATTATGTTAAATGTAATATTTATCTTTATATTCTTTTTTAATATACTTTGTAAGATGAATTTAGTATTTTATTTTTCATTACGTATGGATTTAGGTGATGAGCCCCCTTTTAGATCAATCACTTAGATGTTTATTTGTGGGAAGAAATTGACCTCTAGACCTACAATATCTAGACAAACAGAGCAGAGGCAGGGATTTCCACCAGCTGCAAGAGTACCAACACATGGGGCTAACTTTTCTTCTCCTATAAACAGTAGCCCCTTATTTCTATAGCCATATCTCGCTTAATCAACCCCTTTTTACCCATATTTCCCCCCACCACCATAAAAACATTTCCATCAACCTACTCTCATCCTCCTTATCATCAACTTTATTTTTATCGACCTCCCATCCCGGCACATCATATCAGACCATTTACAGAAGATAGGGGTAGAGTATGCAACTGCCATATAAGGTAAATATTTGTACATTGAGCCTCAAGGCGATGCCTAAGTTAATATCATTAGTTGATTTTGCAATTTGATATGTTAAGAAATAAGAAATATTATATTAAATAGTAAATACAATGTTATGTGTAGGTTTAATCTCGCACGACAACCTACACACAAGATTCAGGATATCATAAAGAGTATATTTGATGCACCATACTTATCATGGAAGAAAATTTGAAAAGATGTTAGAGATACGTGGTTGAGGAAATTTTTGATAAATAATTAAGTTTTTTTAGTTTATATTTTAAAGTAATTATATACTAGTAAATTTAATTTTGAAAATTGTAACATAAATACTTTAAATGGTTTCTTGGGCATAATGCAAGGATCAAAACTAGTTTTGAAAAGAGAGGCTCTACTTTACTTAGAGATATGTTTATTAACATTAGAAAGTCTGGTGAATGCCCATTGTGGCTTGGAAGGGTTTGTATGGGGTGATCTAACCAAAGCTTGGGTAACCCCTAAGTTCACTAAGAAAATAGAGGAAAAAAAATAGAGCATTAACATTGGTGGTTTAGGAAGCTCTCTCCACAGTCCACACAATGGTTCAGTGTCTTATATTGATCATAGACAATGAATGATAAATAACTCATCCTATTTCACATATATATTAATTATTTTAACTATGTTCTCTTGTAGAAAGAGGTACTTGGTCGGGAGACTACAACATTAGAGTTACACGAACTGTCACACTCTTGGATTTATATTGGAATAATTACACATGTAGTTTATTTTAACCATTTAACTAGATGTTACCAATGAACAATGGAAAGAAATAAGATTACATTTTTATCTTATTCGAAGCCTAATATCATAAATAACTCATCCTATACATTTATTAAAATATGTAAAATCACGTAATGAGCACATAGCCCAACAAAATAACTAAAAACTTATAACTGAAACCAATACAAGATAAAGGAGAATAATATGCTTTAAATCATATAAGAAAATATATACATTTTTGTATATATTGATTATCAATATCAATTTA